GACGGCGGTATGTGGGGGTAGGAGGACGGGGGGGGTGTGTGTTTAAAAATCTGGGTGACGATGGTATGAGAGAGAAAAAAAAAGGAATATTATAATATGTCAGAATAACATGACAAATCTATGAATAATTAATGAAGGGAGGAATTGTGGAATGAATGTGGGGTGGGGAAGAAAAAAGAATAGATGTCGGAAGATACGATACTGAATGAATAAATAAGCGAATGAAAGAATGAATGAATAAATCAATGAATGACTAGTATGTGAGTGAGCGACCGAAATAAGGAATTAGGGAATCAAGTGCATGCTTTGTTTTAAAACCTGGAATGAAGTTGTAATTAATTGTAGACGTTTTACGTTCCCACCAACACAATTTAGACCATTAGGGGCACGATTTGCTACGACTTTAACTGTCATGGCCCACCCGTGCAGAGAGATACACAAATGCCTAGCACTCAGGAGGGAAATACTCGATTGAAAAAAAGCACTTTCCTCTGTGGAATCGAACTCGTGTCATTTGAGAGCGATCAGGAAGCCTTCTAAGCATTACTCCACAGATCCTGGCTAAGATATATGCTAAAATGTGCAGACATTGACTCCAGGTTAAGGCCCTGGGTCACTGTTTTTGACTCGTATAATTTTTAAGACAGACAAGCTGACAAGGATACAGACATACAGATAGTCAAATAAACAGAACTCTGAATCTTACTCACATTGAATATAACCTTCAAGTTTTTACCTAGTACCTCTGACTCACACCACGTCATCATTTTCCTTACATACATACAGGCAAACAAATGAAAATTAACAAACTTACAGACAGATAGACAGGTAGACAAACAGACACAAAGCTTTGACTCTCACTCATATTACATTGACTTTACATTCAAGTTTTACCATTTCCACGTCATCATTTCCCTTAGTCTTAAAACGGCTTCTTGTTTTATCTCTTTTCACATAGAGAGAGAGGAACAGACAAACAGACAGGCAGACAAACAAACAAACAAACAGACAGGCAGAGCTGTACGTGCACTTGTACAGATATCAACCTCACCTTTCAGTCCTTGCATCCCATATTTTTTACTCATTTCCACGTCATCATAATGTGAGGCAGCGTGGTGGAATCAGGCTCTCGTCAAAATAATCAAAGTGAAGAAACTTGCATTTTTCCGCAGGTTTGTGAATTTTTTCTTCAAATTTTTGTTTTTTCGCTGAACACCTTTCATGCCCATTAAAGAACTCGTTTCTGTGTGGATTTTTCAGAAAAGTGTTGATTAAAGGCACACAAATGTAACTTTTCAGTTACCACGGACACCTAAAATAAGGAAATACGTTGAAATAACTAATCTTTGGCGGCCATTTTCTAACTAATTTTACCTCTGAAAACAGGTGACCCCCACCTCCTTCTTTCGCGAATATCTCGACTTGTATTCTAAGATAAATGAATATTTTTTCATCCAAATAAAGACAAGTGAATAAACTTTAAGATAATACCAATAACTCTACATGCCCAAAAATTGACGAGAGCCTGATTCCACCACGCTGCCTCACATATAATCTCATAACAGCTTCTTGTTGCATCTCATTTCATGTACAAAGAGAATACGAGAAGACAAACACTAAGTCAGACAGACTGACAAACAGACAGACGAACAGATAAACGAACAGACAGAGCTTTGAACCAAAAGGACATGGCCTACAGTATTTCTGAATCACACCCACGTCACCTTTTCTTTCCCGTACTCTCATACCAGCGTCTTGTCCCGTCTCGCTTCACGTACAAAGACTACCATGCACTATTCACTCACACCAGGAGGACAAAGGGATAAATTATTCAATAACCCGGCCTAAGAATAGACGAATTATTCAGGAGGTTATTGCAACACTTGCACTGAGTTGACCTTGTCAGGGAGATCCGTGGATAGATTGGATTACGTGGAGAGAGATTGGTGTCCTTGCGAGTAATAATTATTTTTTTTGCATTTTTGTTTTGGTTTTGTTTTGTTTTTGTTGTTTTTAGTGTGTTTTTTGTGTTTTTTGTGGTTTTTTCGGGGGGTGTGAGTTGTCTTTGGTGGGGGTTTACCCTTGTCTTTTCTTTTATCTTTTTTTTTTTATTGTTCCCTTATTTTTATTTCCCCATTTTTTTGTCTTTTTTATTCTTTCTGTATTTTTTCTCTCTTAAACGATGTGGTACTTCCCCTTGTCATTAATACAATATCAGCGTCTGTGGTGTAGTGGTTAGAAGCTTCTCTGTCACTTGCAGAAGACATGAGTTCGATTCCCGTGTGGGAAGGGGTGTTTAAAAAAATATTTTTAGATTTCACTTCTATGTACTCAGATGTTGCATCCCTCTCAACCCAGGTTGGCCCTGACAGGCAAGGTGGAAGCAGCCTGCATACTAAATTAACTTACTGTGTCGATAAGAACGTAAAACGTCTCACAGTTATTATCGACATCATTGAAATAAATTAAAACGCAGGCTGGTGATTTTTCCTACCAACTGAAAATATTAGGTGTGTCCCGCGCGCTCATATGACCTTATGCAGTTGCGAGCGCCGTAAAACACTTTACAAAAACAAAACAAAAAAGGCTGGTGATTGGAATCTGCGTGTCAGGGTATCTGGGTCAACCTGGGCCGACAAGGGTACAGCGTCCTGGCAGACAGAAGGACATTTTATTATGCGATTGTTATTTTTTTTGAA